TGGGGGCTCGGCACCCCCCGGACCCGTGGGCCCCACTGCTGACCCGCCAGGCCGCGCCGCCGAGACGGCCTCCGGCCCCAGGAGGTGCGTGGCTGTCACTCACAGACGAGCGCTCGTGGGGGGCCCGAACCAACCCACAGCCTGCTGTTCCGAGGGAGGACAGGCGACGCCGGGAGCGTGTGCGTGTGCGTGTGTGTGTGTGTGTGTGTGTGTGCGTGTGACTTTACACGCGTCCTTTCTACTCTTGGTCCACAGCAGCCTCGGCCTCCACCAGGCACTTGGGAGCACTCAGGTCTCAGGCCCTGCCCCCAACTCACAAGTCAGAGGCTGCATTTTCACAAGGCTGCACGCACCGGAGGCCAGACACCCTCCCTCGGAAGACTTTATTCATTTGTCTGGTTGTTTTTTGGAAACAGGATCTCACTCTGTCGCCCAGGCTGGAGCGCAGCGGCGTGATCATAGCTCACGGCAGCCTTGACCTCCCGGGCTCAAGCGATCCCCTTGCCTCAGCTCTGAGTAGCTGGGACTTCAGGCATGTGCCATCACACTCAGCTAAAGTTTTTTTCTAGAGATGAGGGTCTTGCTATGTTGTCCAGGCTAGTCTCGAGCTCCCAGGCTCAAGTGATCCCCCCCACCTCAGCCTCCTGGGATTGGAGGTGTGAGCCATGCACCCCGCCTATCAGCCAATTGTGTTTTTGAGGACTGCTCTTCCTACTCACAGTGAGTTTCCTGGCTGTTCTTCTCCTCTGAGGGAGGGCCCCTGGCAGTCATGAGGTGATGCCCAGTGACCACTGAAGGTTCAAGGGGCCCTTCGTCTCAGGAGGACTCTGGGTGTTTCAAGGGCAAGCCACAGGCCCCTGAGCCTCACCACACAATGGGGACCCTTTCCCGTGGGGTCCAGGACTTGGCCCCCCTGGAACGGCAGGAGTCGGGAGAAAACCTTTCTCCTCCTCGTTTTTCATAAACCCGGGGCCCCACGGTCTCCTCTCTGGGTCTCCCACTGTGCCTCCCGTCTGGAGCCGGGGTCCCGCCAAGCACAGGGCAGGGGCTGGGACGGGTTTCCTTCATGACCAGGAACCACAGCAGCCAGCTGTGAGCCTGCCCAGAAGCCGTGGCAAAGGAGCAAGCACTGGTCTTGGAACACAGAGTGGGCCCCAGCTTGCTGTGCACCTTCACACAAGTTATCCAACCTCTCTGATCAGCTTAACATTTCCTTAATAAAGAAGAGCTGATCCAATGACACGACGAGGGTGAAATGAAGTCAGAGGAGACATGGGCACTGCCTTCTGTAAAGCTCTGCATGGGGCTCAAAGATTGTTGTTTATTTCAGGTGATGCGGGTGTGACATGCCTTGGCTTGCCTCCAGGCCACGGGGACACACGGACAGGGGCACACGGGGCAGCACAGACTGCACAGAGGTGACAGCCAGTCCCTCAAAGGCTGGCCTCCCCACTGACCTCCCCACTGACCTTGGAGGCTGGCCACCCCACTGACCTCCCGGCTGGCCTTGGAGGCTGGCCTGGGAGGAAGCGGAGGCCACAGCCCACGAGACAGGCCCACAAGGTGCCTGGGCCAAGCCGCCCCTCCCAGCCGAGCCTGGCCTGCCCCGCTCA